TCCGTTGTAATTCTCGTATTATCAGATTGGTCACACTTGGTATTATCTCTTCTTTTTCTTCTCAGATTGACTTGACTATTCTAGGTCCTTTTTTCTTCCATGTAAATTTTTTGATCAGCTTGCTCAATTCCATAAAGGGAAGAGATCAACACTTTTGGGATCTTAATTGGAATCACATTGAGTTTCCAATTAATTTGGGAGAGAACTAACATTTGTCTAACATGACGCTTTTCTGACCGTTATTACCTTGGCACATTAATGCATATATTTCAGTCTTCTTTTTTTGGTCCCTCTGTAAAAATTGTGCTGCATTCACCTCTAGGGTCTTGCTCTATCCTTGTTAGATCTACTCCTGGGGTTTGTGGGTTTTGCCACTCCCCCTTCCCACATCAAATATGCCAGGCACGTCCTTCCTCACCTCCTACTCCTGCCTCGGGGTCCACACTCCTCCTTCCCACCATCCAGGGAGCAGCTGTCCTGCTCCAACAACTGACTTCCCTGTGAGGCCTTGTCAGCGGGGGTAGAGCTCACATTTCCCACCTCAGGTCCTATCAGCAGAGTCTGAGGAGAATGACAGTTGTTTCGGTGGGGACAACGGGCTGCATTCTGTACAGGCTCTTCTCAGGGCCCCCTTCTCCCAGGCCACAGCAACTGTTCTTGCAGATAGGGTAGGGCCCCACCTGTCAGCTCTAATTACTCTTCAGGCGACACCCAACTCCCTGCCCACTTCTTCATGCTTGGTAAGCAAGTCTAGTATGTGTTCTCCTACCCAGTTGCCTGTTCAGGGGTCTATCATTGCCTGGAATTGGTGGGCAGAGGAACGGTGGTCTTTGGTATGGGACTGTCCCTCCCAAGGGCCTGACCTCTCACCTCGGAGGAGCTGCAAGTTCCCAGAATGTTCTCTGAGCTGTCACCATATCCAGGCCTCAGACCCTCACCAGAGCTCCCCTCAGATAGTTGAGGGACTATCGTCACCAGCCGAGAGGAGCTGTGTCAGAGAATACGGCTGAACTCCCAATTCTACAACTTTGGCCTCCACAACTGTGCCCTCAGCACCCCCACCCTTGAGGAGACCTCCCTGGCTTCTTTTCAGAGCTCCTTGTGCAAGGGTCAACACTGCTCTCAACTTCCAACAAATGGGAAGGGCTCCAGGCCAAGGCCGATCCCCAAGAGGGGACAATAGGACACTGAAACCTGACAGAGCCAGGGGCCTCAAGGGGACCCAGGCCTCCATTAATTTTTCAAGCTTTCATTGAGCCACATCCACTCTCAAGGGCTGGTCATGGGCATCTGGGCTCGTCACAGCAGGCCTTCAAGGAGCAGCCCACTGGCTGGCCTCAGACACAGGGTGTACTCAGAGGTAAAACCAAACGATGAAAGGAAGGATACTCTTTGTCTACTGGATCCCTTCTAGGAGCCAGCCCTGGACCTAGTAATTTCCCATGTCTTGATCCTGTCAGAGGCAGGAGTTATGGTAAGTCCCACATTAGAGAAAAGGACCACCACATAGCACCGCTCCTAGAGGGTGTTATTGCTATCCCCACTCGTTCAGTGAACAGTCTTTTCCTGGGGCACCTGGGTGGCTCAGTGGGTGGAGCATGTGACTCTTATTCTTGGGGTTGTGAGTTCAAGACCCACATTGGGTGTAGAGATTACTTTTTAAGGTGGGGGGCACCTGGATGGCTCAGTCGTTAAGCATCTGCCTTTGGCTCAGGTCATGATCCCATGGTCCTGGGTTTGAGACCTACATCGGGCTCCCTGCTCAGCAGGAAGCCTGCTTTCCCTCTCCCACTCACCCTGCTCCTGTTCCTGCTCTCGCTCTCTCTTGCGGTCAAATAAAAATAAAATCTTTACACACACCCACCAAAGCCCTTAGCTATATGGCAGCTCTCACCCCCGGCCCTGCTGCCTGTCTGGCACCCTAACTGCTGACTTTCAGTGTATCTGTTCCGTGTCCTCCGTGCCTTGCACAGGCCTGGCACACACTTGCTTGCACTCCAGTGCTTGCTGTTGACATGGATGGCCCAGTAATGGACACCTAATCGCGGGGGGCAGGGGTCTCTCCAGAACGCTCCTAGATGGCCCTGAGGGTCTTGGGAAGAGGAGCAGGGAGGAGGACTGCAGAGGTCACATACTGTCTAGTCCACAGGCCTCAGGTTCACAAGTTGGCACTCAGATCCTTTTTTTTTTTTTTTTAATTGACTTTAAGGAACAGGAGGTTTGGCCAATTTCCTCAAAGTTGCTGGCCTCTCCCCAGCAGCAGAGGGTGGGGGGTAGAGGTCAGGGTGGTGCAGGCAGGATCCATTACATAGGCTAAATCAGGAACTAGAAGGAATTGCTCTGTGCCCGCTCTGTTGCCAGAGAGAATGGTTATCTTTCCAGGAAAGACTGAGGAAATCCTTAGCAGAGCCGTTGGTTTTCTACCTTGGGGAAAATATCTGGGGCAGGCTGACGGGTGTGGGGAAGGATTAATCCAGGGGAGAGTGGGAAGGAGGTGGACAGGGGAGTTAATCTCAGGGGGGTAAGGGGGTTGACAATAAACTGTGACTAGACCCACCCAGTTGGAGGCAACAGCTTCCCCTCCCCCACCTCCCTTCCCACCCGCCTCTGGGGTTCCCCATTGTTACCAGAGACAACATCCTGTTTCCCTTACTTGCCTCGCTAGCCCAGGCCCTGGATCCCCTCACTCTGCTGGGGTGGGGGAGGGGGGGTGGAGATGGAGGATGGGGGATGGGGCAAGCCTCAGGCTCCAGGTCCAGGGCCCAGGGATCTCACAGCTGTGGAAACTGAGGTTGGAGGGGTCACAGCAGTGGCTTATGTGAGCCAGTGCTTGGTTGGGACTCCATGGTGCCCTCAAAATTACACACTTCAGGGGGTCACAGAGGGAACAACTGAGGTCTGACTTCCTCTTCTTTAGGTTCCTATGGCCGGTTCCCCCTCTCCCAAAGGCTCCCTAGCTGCTATAGCAAGTACGGTTCTCACATCTTAGGAGTGTATTCAGATCAATGGAGCTCTGGGGATCTGCCGCACAAGCTCTGGACAAGCAGGCCTGAGTCTGGGTCACATCACAGAACCTCTACTGATCTATTCTTACATTGCTTATTGCTAAGCACTGAGGACACGGCAGCAGTTAAAGCAGAGGTAAGTCCCTACAGTCTTGTGGGGGAGGTAGTTAAGCAACAAGACAAGGAAGTAAAATAAAATATATAGCATGTCAGATAATGACTTGCTGTGGAGATAAGTAAAACAGGTTTGGATGGGGAGGAGACAGAGGAGATGGGGTGGAGGAGTATCATTTTAAACAGGATGGATAGGTAACATACGGGCAAAGACTTAAGGAGGTAAGAGGTAGAGCCAGGTGAAGACCTGGAGAAAGAGCCTTGTGCAAAGTAGCAAGAGTAGGTGCAAAGGCCCTGAGGCAGAAAATATATCTGACACAGGGGCGCCTCAGTAGCTCAGTGGGTTAAAGCCTCTGCCCTCTGCTCAGGTCATGATCTCAGGGTCCTGGGATTGAGTCCAGCATCGGGTTCTCTGCTCAGCAGAGAGCTTGCTTCTCCCTCACCCCAACTCTCTGCCTGCCTCTCTGCCTACTTGTGATCTCTGTCTGTCAAATAAATAAATAAATAAATAAATAAATAAATAAAATCCTTTAAAAAGAAAATATATCTGACACAGTTAAGGAAAAGCAAAGAATCCAGTGTGGCTGGAGCAGAATGACAGAGACCGGATAGAATTGAGTCAGAATGCTAAGGGAGGTCAGACCACCAAGGCCTTGTAGGTCATAATGAAAAGCTTTGGCTTTAACTCTGAGTGAGATGGGAGCCCCTGGATAGTTTATGCAGAAGGAAGACAGGACGTGATTCATGTTTCATAAAGACCATTCTGGTCTCTATACGGAAAAGAGAAACAGGTGTGGAAAGGGGAAATGGGAACCCCATTTAACAGACTACTACAATAATTCAGGTGAGGAATGATGAATGCTCAGAGAAGAGCAGTCATGGCGACATCAGTGAGGTAGTGAGATTCTGAATATTTTGAAAGTAGTTACCAGGATTTACTAATATGGGGTAGTGAACCATGATGGGAAGAGAGAAGTGAAGAGAACGTCCAAGATTTTGGCCAGAGGAACTAGAAAGTGGCAGTTGCCACTTACAGAGATCGGAATGCCTGAGGGAGGGGCAGGTCTAAGTGGAGATCATGCCGTTCATTTATCTGCTGTATGACTCCGGGTAAGTTGGTTTACCACTCTGGACCTCGGTATCCTCATCTGTACAATGGTTATAATAATGGCAATGAATTCACAAGATTGGCACATGTGCAGACTCAGTGTGTGTCCCTCCCATGCTCCAGGGATGGCCCATGGCCAACACATCTGCTAGGGAAGCACCCGGAAGGAGAGGAACACTATGTCAATAAATCTGTGCTCTAGCTCCTCTCCCCTGCTTCCTGCAGGCAGAAGTGGGACGGGCATGTTTGATATTTGTTTTTTTTCTTCAGGGTCTTTGACAGTTTTAGACATAGTCATGGTACTAATGGAGACTGGCGGTGGGATGTGGATAAATGCTATTCTAGAGGATGTGAAGCTTCCAAAACACTTTGATGGCCATTATCTCTTCTGAGTCCAGAAAGGCCAAAAGTAGACCCATTTTAGGAAGTAGGAGGATGAGGTATTTAAAAACAAAACCAACCCAGGCTGTCTCTGTATCAAGATATCTCTGGGAACTTCACTTAATCTTGGGGCAAAAGTGGGTAAAGAGCGTCCTAAAATGGGTCTCCCTCTTCCTGACCTGAGTGACAGTGCCACCCTGCTGTGTCCAACTGGGCCCAGCTACCCGATGGACGGTGACCCCACTCCTCTACCCGCAGGAGACAGCCCACAGGTCCCGTTCTCCCTGTGCAGGCCCCTCTTGGCCAGAGTCTCTAGCCTGCAGCCTTCCTGCTTCTGTGGTTTGGGCAAGTGGGTCTCTCACATCGCTCCATTCCAGTTCCCTCTGCCCGTTAACTCCCACTTACTGAGTTAATAGACTGAGTTAACAGATGGGACTAGAAACCAGAAGAATCGATGTGCCTAAGGTCATACCCTTAGAAAGTGCAGTCTGGGTTCTGTACCCAGCGGGAAGAATTCCTGCATCTGTTCCTTCCACTTCTTCCAGCCTAGCTGCCTCCGCCCCTCAATATACCAGGAGCCAGAACACAGCTGTCTCTTCGTGGCTCCCCCCACCCAGGCCAGCTATCCTAGGGTGGGACTGAGCTCAGTGGGGGCAGTCTTGTAGTGTCCGGTGACACAGCAGTGTCCCTGCAGGCAAATTCGGCCAGAGATTCATTCTGAACCACGGTTCTGACTGGTGAGAGCTACTGCTGATCGGTGGGTGTGCGGCATTGGGGGGGTTGGATCAGGGGGCCTCAGAAGAAAACTTACAATTGCCTGGGGATGGAAGAAATCCTACAGGATTGAGAAGAGTTGGGGAATGCCAGGGAGCCTGAGGGTTTGAATGGGGTGGGGGATGGAAGGAGACTGGCTAAAGGAGTTGGGGGGGGTGGAAATCTAGTGAACAGTAGGAGACCCTGGAGGCTGGGAAGGGCAAACTCTAAGTCCTAGTCTCAACTTTACTCTCCCCTTGGCTTGGTGTCTTCATCGGCGCTGTGGTAAGAATCCTCCTGCCCCAGCCACCTTGCTAAGAGAAAGGGCCTCTGGAAAGCCAAAATGACCCATAAATCGAGGTGGAGGGGAGCATAAGGGTAGAAACTGAAGTGGCATAGGGGGAGCCTGCGAACCCCAAGTTTTACGCCAGCTGAGGTTGGAGCAGGAAAGGGGCAAGCCTAGAGTCTGGATTGCCTTTACAGTCACTGACCCAGCCATGCCCGCTCCACTGCTCCCACTGCTGCTGCGAACGCTGCTGTCCCGCCTGCTGCTGCCTGCCGCCCGCCTGGCCCGCCGGCACTTCCTGCCCCTGCTGCGCCGACTGGCCCGCCACCTAGGCTCACAGGATGTTCGTGAGGCTTTGCTGGGCTGTGTGTTGTTCATCCTCAGCCAGAGACACCCACCTGACGCAGAGGAGGCCTCCAGAGTGGCCGGCCAGGAGAGGCGGGAGAGGCTAGCTCCCCTCAAATGAGGCCGTGATCCCTGACGTTGGCTGTATCATCGAAAGCCCTTCTTTTGGAGCATGACAGTCCCAGCACCGTCACACAGCGTAGCCTACCCGGTGTGCGGAAGACATGGTGTGGGGGGGGGGACTGAGCACAAGAAGGGTCTGACCGGCAATGCCTCCCCACTGCCAGCAGGAATGACTGCAAGGATACCCAGCATCTAGAGGGCATAAAACTGATCATTACCCTCTCCCTGAATTCCTCCTCCAAGGACACCTTTCCTACTCACATCTGGTTCTAGCGAATGGAGGAAGTGACTCTCCTCCCCCAGCCTCAAATGGTGGCATGAGGTCCAGGGAGGGACAGGGCTTACACAGGCAAAAATGACAATGTATTTGAGAGGCAAGATTTTAACCCTGACGGTTTGTCTTCCAGACTCAGGATTTACCTTAAAGTAATAGGACCTTGGTTGCCTAGGGAGGCAGTCTTGCCCCAAGGCCCAGCATGCAGCAGGTTCTCAATAAACATTTGTTGATTGGAGTTCTTGGGATGCCATTGAAAGTCCTGTCACCCACACAGTTCCTAGGCTCCTACCTAGAGAGACAGTCTAAGGTGGCCAGAGGGTGGGGGAGGAGGTAGAGAGGGGGCGGGGGTGGGGAAAACCACTCAAGAGTTCCTTTTGCTTCCTATCCCATTGTCCCGAAGTCCTCATCTCCTGGAGGTTGTTTCTCTTGTGTAACTTCAGTCAGTATGTCACACTGTGACCCAGCAGTCTTGGGTCCGATTTGGAGGTCTGGCTGGCCAGCTCAAGGTAAGGAGAAGAACGCCAAGTTCCTGAGTCTGTTTGGAGATTCTTCTCACCCAGTGGTGTGGGAAGAGGGAGATTTGTTTGCTAAGAGACCCCACGGGCAGCCACCCAGGGGAGCAGTGTAGAAATGCTTCCCCCGAGGGGCACTGTGTCCCTGAAGAGATGGAGTGGGGTGGAAGTGTCCAGAGGCGTTCGCCCCATTATTTCTGCCTCCCCAAAGAGCAGCTCCTAAGGAGTCAAACGAGAGTTGTCAGATTCATTTGCACTCAGCCTCCGGATAATTTGCTTATTGTTCCCAAACAATAGTCCTCCCTCCCTCCAGGAGTCTTGGGCTGTAGGTTCAGAGTGGGGAAATGAGGGATGTGGGCCTCTTTCAGGACCCCCATCCCGAGCCCGCACCGTTCAGAAGCTCGGCCCCGGGGGAGGAGGGGGGGAAGCGAGGCCAGAACCGCGCGCCGCCCCCCAATTCTCCCCCAGCCTCCAGGGGCTTTCCGCCAAAACCCAGCCCGGCCACCCTTTGGCACCATCTGCTTCCTCCAGGTGTCCACCAAAGCCAGTGCACGTGCTCGACCCTCTCGGGAAGGCCACGTGGGGGAAGGGGCGGAATGAAGGGGGTTCCAGCTCGTGGTCCCCTAACGCCGTTCCCCTCCGGGGTCACGAGCACCTTCTCTGCAGTCTGATCCCGGCCTTCCATGCCGCCGGCCTCCCAAAGCACTCCTCGCTCCCGAGCGGCGCGGGGCGGGACAGAGCGGGTCACCGAGCGCGGGGCGGGCGCCGGCGTAACCGGTTGCGGCCCCTCTCCCTCCGGCAGCGGCATTGGAGACCGGTTAGACCCAGTGCGGGCTGCGAGCTCCCGCCATGGCCCCAGCCCCGAGGTGAGAAGGCCAGGACCGGGACCGGGGTCGGGGGAGTTCCGTCCTCCTCCTGCATATCCGGCAGGTGCGCCGGGAGCAGAGGCGGCCGCTGGGCGGTGGGGCGGGGGCTGCGCGGTTCTCACGCGCCCCGCGGGTACGGGCGGAGAGAGGTGGGGTTAGGGTCCCTAATTGGGTTGGGGTGGGGATATACGCGGGGTCGGGCTCTGCGGTTTCCCGCGGAGTGGATGCTTTTATCGGACATTGGAGGTCACCCCCCAACTCCTCCACCCCCGCTGCACCCCCCCAACCATATACAGATGCCTCCAAGGTAAGAGACATGCCCGGAGCAAAAGGTAGAGGCAGAGTTCTGGGAAATTACGCTGGGAAGACCAAGCCCGGACGGAGTGAACCTCAACTCTTGGACCCTGACCCTCATTCTCACCCTCGAGTACACACCCACCAGGAAAGTGAGGGAAGTGAGAGGAGTCCGGTCCTGAGACGGCTGGATCCTGTCTTTATTTTAAATGTGGGTGTTTTGTTTATCATATCACTTTTTTGCATTTACTTTGATTAAAAAAAAAACTCAGTAAAATATTATTTATCTTGATCTCTAAATTTTTTGGTGTCCCCTTAAAATTTGCAATGCAGGCAAGTGCCTCATTGGCCTCTCCCTAGTCCCAACCCTGCCACGAGGCCATGGACACAGAGTCAGGAACAAAATGAGAATGCACAGTCATAAGGCAGGTGCTGGTGACAAACAGCCAAGCCAAGCCAAACCCAGATGGACACAGGCTGGACCGAATGTGAGGTGGTGGGGCGGCTTGTGGCCTAGAATAAGGAGGAGGGAGTCTGGGACAAGGGACAGTCTCAAATAGAGTGGGGAATGGGGAGAGGATAGGGGTGCAGCTGGATCAGCTCTTTTCACCCTACCACTGTGCCAGGGACCTGAGGGAGAAAAACATAAGCCAGGGCTGAGGGTGACAGGACTGGCTGAGGCTGGCCAGAAAAACTCGGGGCACAGGCTGGTGTGAGTTGAGGCCCTGCGGCTGTCCAGCAGAGGGCCCTGGCACCCAGCAACCATCTCTGGGCAGGGAAGGGCTCCAAAGGGGTGTGGATGCTGGCAGGGGGCCCAGGCAGGGTGAATGCCAGATGGGCTTCTCTCCAGCCGTAACAGTCCTGCCTATTGCCATCTAGTGAGCAGGCCAGGCCTCCACAGGGGTGGGGAGAGGAAACAACCTTCCCCTGTCTGGCCTGGGACCCTCACCACTTCCCTCCAATTTCTTTCCCCCTCCAGCCCCCTCTGCGCACAACCCCAGCCACTGGCCACCGGCCTGGCCATGCCGGGCAGATCTGTCTGACCACGAAAGCCTGCCACCCCCACGGGCCCAAAGAGGGAAATGAAGGTGGGGAGAGAGACTGGGGCCAAGGAAGAGGGAGAGACTGGACAAACACAGGATGGGAATGGGGGTGGGGAGACCCAGACATGAAGCTGCCCTCTAGTCGTGGGGCAGTGCCTAAAAAAATACCACCCGTACCCCTCTTCCTGCCCTCTGTTTGGTTAAGGCTGGAGGGTGATAGTGTGTCATGTCTCTGTGGGAAGAGCCGGAAGGCTGAGAACACCCCTTGTGGGACAGTCCACTGATCCCAAGTAGAAAAACTGCCCCTCCCTTCAGGGCCCAGTCTGTTTCCTGGCAGGAGAGTATGACTCTGCCTTATCCTTGATGGTAGTAAGGCTAATTGGTTGGGTGGGTTTTTTTGGGGGGGGTATTTATTTACTTATTTGAGAGGGAGGGAGTAGGAGAAGCAGACTCCCTGCTGAGCAGAGAGCCCAAGGAGGGACTTCATCCCACGACCCTAGGATCATGACCTGACCGGAAGACAGGGGCTTATAGACTGAGCCACCTCAGTGCCCCCTGCTAATTTCTAATTAGTGCCCATGACTTCTCCAGGGGACAGGTCTCTTGGGTAGTTGGGGCGAGGTGGGGTGTTGGCCTGGGTTGGACTTTCTGTCTTCACACCCCACCAGCCATTGTGTTATCCTCCACCACTGAGGGCTGCTATGGGGGCCCTCCCCTCCCCCCAACTTACTGGCCAAAAAGAGGGGAATCATTCCCCCCTCCCTTGAAGGTGCAAGAAGGGCTAACCAGTCCTCAGCATGCCCACCCCTTCCCACCTTAGCCCAGGGAGGATGTGGGACTCAGCAAGGCTTGGCCTCTTCCTCTGAGGACATAGGATTCACTCAGGAGGGAAGGCTGTTGGGGGCTTTTTCTCTTACCATCTCCAGCTGTTTCTTAGCTCTTCCAAAGTTCTGATTTTAGAAAGAGTGAATCTGGAGGGGCCTACAGACCTGTGCCTCTACCCCACCCACCACCCACCCCAAGACATGCACTCCCCTCCAAGTCCCAGTTGAGGTTGGTGTGGTGCTTGTATGTGGGTGTGGGTGTGTGTGTGTGTGTGTGTGTTAGAGGTAGGAAAACTCATGACTCAGGTCACTGACTGTTTTGATTGCGCAGAGAGGTCCCTTAGCGTGGGGGTTGGGAGAGCAGAGGGTAGGTGCGAATGGCAGAAAGTGGCACTAAAGGTCGTGGGCGCTGGAAAGGGAAAAGGCACCATGGAGAAAGTAGCGGGGTATCTGGGAGGGGAGTCCGCCCCGCTCTTGGGCAGAGGGTTGGGTGCAGGGACAGTAGAAGTTTCTGGACCCCCAGCGAGGAGCACACTAGGGATGATACCCCTCCAGCCCCGGGTTCCCCATAACGGGGCAGGGTTTGGTGTGGCACGGCTCTGAGGTCCTGTCTTCAAAAGTAAGGGAAGGTGTGGGCGCGGCGGCCGGGGGAAGGGGTTGGGGGGGGCTCGCATCCGGCGCCGCTGGGGGGGCGTAGCTGGGGCGGGGCCGCGGCGGCGCGGGCGGGGCGTAGGGGAAGCTGCAGCGGCGGGTGGTGGGGGGAGCGAGCCGCGGCCGCGGGCCGGGGCGGGCTCAGCGGAGGGAGGGTTTGAATGTGCTCCGGCCGGCGCGGGAAGCTGCAGAGAGGGCGCGCGGATCTCGGCGCGGTAGGACTCTTTGCTAGCAGGTGCTGCCCGGGTCGGGGGTCGGGGGTCGGGGACCGGGTGGGGGTCCAGGAACAGCCGGCGTGGAAGGCGCCTCTTCCCGCCGCCACGAGGGCAGGGAGGCCGGGCCTGGCCGCTACGCTGCGCGCAGTGGGGGCCCTGCTTCCCCCGCGCCGAACGTGCGGAGCCGCGCTGCACTTGGCGCGCCAGGGCCAGGGCGCGTGGGGACTCTGCGGAGATTGGGACCGGAGCGGGGCGTGGGCCACCTGGCTCCTGGGCCTGAAACCGGCGGTCGCCGAGCTGACCTTTGCAAGGGGCGGGCGAGTGAATGGGTAATCTCGATGGATCTTGCCGGTACAGGAGAGGGGCCGCGCGGGTAACGGCACTGGGTGGGGGTGAATGGAGATGCGGGCC